GTATTTGTCAGGTGTGATCTCCCCATTGCAAAGCTATTTTGACTGCTCCCCATATGGAATATGTTTGGAGATAGCCTTTCAGATTTTTCCATCAGCTTCCCATATGCTGAGGTGAGGCTGTCCAGCCTGGAGATCCCTTCAGCCTTGCCCATGAGATAAAAGTGGTGTTTTCTTTTTGTAAGTCCTCAGTAATGTCTCCTCAGAGGTAAGCAGGGTCTTGTAAGGGCATTGTCCAGCTCCTTAGCATACCATCAGGTCTCATTCACTTAAAAAGGAGTCAGCTTGTGTAACTAGTTTGATAACATTTATTTGGCTGTGACAAGGACTAAGATGAATGTCTGTAGCACAGGGAGATTTAGTTGGCTTTTTCAGTTTGTATTTCTATACTTTATCTGTAAGTAGAAATATTATTCAATTGCAGAATGCCCAGACATTGTGCAGGTAAGATTTGCTTTCTCATATATACATACACATACATGTATATACATATCATATATACCTATATCATCTATATATATGTATTGGTCTGGTGAGCCTATAGACCTGAATTGAATGACATTGGAATGAATTTGACTCAAGGAAGCCCCCTTGTGCCTAAAAGCTAGCTTCTTTTTTCCTGCATCCCACACGATAGAATTTGGCCCAGTAAGTTATTCTGTCTCTAAAATTTTCTTTCCATAGACTCCTTCAGTGGTTTTACTGCACTCTTTAGAGTGCACTCCTAAAGCAGTCTGGCAGATGAAAACCGAATGAAGAAAGCAGAAAAAGGGGAGCAGTGGATTTTGTAGGGAATGAGTCTTATCTATATTTAAGATCCAGACCAATGAGTTACCAGACAGGCTTACTTTTGTTAACTTGTCTTTAAACTCTGTTACAAATAGGCAGATGATTTCACTTTGGTTTCTCAGCCTCAAGACAAAGAAGCCAGCTTGTCAGCTGATGTCTCTTGGCAACTGAAAAATGAAGCAGGACCACCACAAGAGTACTTTTCCTCCTATAACGGTCCTGTTCCAGAAGAAGGTGGGAGGAGTGCGCTGCATATTGCATGCCAAAGAGAGGGCAACGGTGAGGTAAGAGCACAGCATCTGAGTCACAAACTTTGGCAGTGAAGACATTTCATCTCTGAGGTTGGTGTTTGAGTTCCAGGAATAAATTCTTTTCCTACTGAACTATCAGTGTTGTGCAGATCATAAATCTATTCATGTGTGAGGTGAAAAAGTTTATTTAACTGTGAAGTACCATTTGACATGGGAAACTCCTGTACTCAAATTACCATCTGTTAGTTGGCCATAAACTTTTATCATCCACGGGGCCGATTTGAAGTTGGGCAGTCTTAGTTTTGGCATGTGCCTCTGCAAATTTGATTTTGTAAGATTCTTGTCATCGATTTAGGATGCATGCACTTGGAGAGTGGTATATGAGAGAAGGGATGTGTGCTTCCTAGAAAGCAAACCTACATATTCCCTCTGGTGGCAGGGTTAATGACATTTGGGAATCTGGTTGTTTATGTTTGACACTACTGTGCTTGGGCTCTCAATCTGAAGAAAACGGATATGTAATTCTGCTGTAACACCACAATTTGTGAAAGCTTTAAGTGTGTTTTTTGCAGCTTGTTTAATTAATTACTCTATTACTATGATGCTGATCTGATATTAAAAAGTTGGCTTCACTATGTTCTGTTTCTTCTTTTTTCCATGCCACCTACCTACAAAGCATGCCAGAGACGTTATCCGCCTCCTCTTGAAGCACAAGGCAAACCCAAACACGCTGTGGAGCGGCCATTCGCCACTTTCCTTAGCGATTGCCAGCGGCAATGACTTGGTGGGCATTTCAAAGCATCTTCAGTTTTTGATGTCTTCCTTGTTTCTGTAGGCCTTCTCTGATAGCCAGGCTACACAGAGCTTGCCAGTGTACATTTCTAGCAAGAATAATGTTTTTACTTTTCTTTTAAACCCATGGGTGTTTCGTGAGCTGAAATGACTACTGACTACAGAATGAGGTAGCCACAAATACTTGGGTAGAATTCAGAAGGGCTTAATATTTTGATAAATGTGTTCATGTTTGTGAATTCATGAGAATCATCTAACGTGCAATCTCCCTGCCCAGAGTGATTCAACCAAATATCAAAACACTTCTTCCTGGGTAGAAGACAAAAATGTAGACGTCGGTGATATGTGAAATATGATGATAAGTGAAAAGATCAATGATCAGACTTCAAAAAGTGATTTTGGTGCTAATGAGACTAAGCATTCCACAAATAAGGTTTGTAGTTCACACAGTAGAATTCAGCAACTATCTTCCCAGAGCAAGGAATTGACTTTCCTCTGCCCATTCTGGGGCAGGTCCACAGCTGACACCGTGGTGCAACAGATGTACATCCAAACCAGGTAATGAAGCAGATGTGTGTGTTGACAGCATCCGCGTCTCTAAGTTGGAGTGAAATGGATTTGAAAGGTTGACTGTACGGTGGGTCAGGAGTCGGCTGGATGGCCGCAGTCAGAGATGTGGTCACAGCTCTATGTCCAGGTGGATGTACAAGCACAGAGCACTTCAGGTTGGATGTGACCTGCAGGACATCTGCTCCAGCCTTCCTGCTCAAGCAGGGACACACAGAAGAGGATTCCCAGGACCACCTACAGATGTTTTATGAAGATCTCTGAGTGGGGAGACTCTACAATCCCTTTTGGCATCCTGTGCCAGTGCTCCAGCAGCTGCACAGCCCAGAATTACTCCCTAATGTTCAGATGGAACCTCCTTTGTTACAATTTGTGCCTTGTATTGTGTGTTCTTGTATTGGCACTGGAATGAGCTTGGATTCAACCTCATTGTGCACACACTAATGTCTAAAAATACATCGGTAAAAGACTTTGATATTATTGTCTGTAATGTCTATAGACATTATCTATTATTTATAGATAAACATATTTAAATAATAATATTAATAATACAACATGACAATAATACTATAAATTATGTTTGCATGATAATGTAGATATTACATATCTATTATCAGGTACACCTTGAGCTTCGTGTCTCCTGCAGTGGGGAGCCCAGAACTGGACTCTGTGGCCTTAGCAGTGCTGAGTGCACGTCCCAGCTCTGTGACAAATACTAGTGGATGTTCCAGGTGTACTCTAAAGCTCCAGGGCCTTGGCTGATGTGGCTAGGATCTCACTTTCCTGCTGTGGAGCTGCCAAAAATGGTTACCTCAGCCACTAATTCGTAACGTTTACCTTTGCAGGCAGTGGTTGAACTCCTCAAACATGGGGCTGACCCAAATCTGCCACTAAGTGGAGCCGTGGAAAGTGCCCTCTGTGCAGCTGTCAGTACCACATATGAACGCCAGAGAACAGCAGCACAGAGGATTGCTTTGGTGAGAAAATGTCTTTTTTTTTTGTCTTCCTCGTAGGATTCAGAAAAATCAATGATATTTATCACGTGCATTTAATTCCCTTTCTCTTTAATGGGTAATAAGCAGTTGATATATATGAAGAACAGTTCATATACATGTATTCCTAACACTGCCTGTTCCTGTCCTGTGGAGCAGGGTATCTGTGTGGCCATTTGTTTTTGTGTTTGAAGAGGATGACAACCTTTTGGTTTAGAAAAGAAAAAATGTCATTAAAGGCAAATAGGATTACTGTAGAACCCACAGCTCTGTAAGATCTGTTTCCTTGTTTATAAACACACCATTCACATGGAGAGAGGTGTGTTGTGCGACTGTGGATAGGGGAATCCCACTTGGGGTGACTTCACTTTCTCTCTACATTAAGGTCAATGGCAGTGTTTGTGTGTATGAAAGTTGGAACTTTTCTTCTCACCCCAGGAAGCACAGAGCTGATCTCATTCAGAATGCAGGATTTTGAGATATCCAGAAGCAAATAGCAACTGCCTGCAAGAAGGCTTTACTTAGAAAACATGTTTAGATCATCAATTGATGAACAGCTTTAATGGAGCAGAAGAAATGTGTGGTTTGATGCACAGAGCAATCTTACAAATAGATGTTAAGCTCTGATAATCAGTCCTGTCTCTTTAGACATAGCATGAAGGAGATTTTTTTGGGAGCTTTTGTTTTTGCTGGGATGTGCAATGGTTTCTTGTCTTCAGGTTGACAAGCTGCTTGAAGCTGGCGCAGATATCCTTGCACCAGTGACTCTTCAGGAGGGAAATACAAAAGCTGTGGGAACTGCTGTTGACTTTGCCTATTATAAATATTATCAGGTATGACTTACATTTCTGTCTTGAAAAATGCAGTGTTCTTTGTATCTGTTCAGATATGTGTTCTGCTTCATCCTCACAGTTTGTCTAGGGCAGCCTTCGAAAATGCTCAATGGAAATTTGCTTTCTCCTTTCATTGCTTCTGAACTATTCACCATTTCAAGTCTGAATGTTCTCTTAAGCATTTTGCCTGTGCAGATAATTGTTACAACAACACTCCATTCGGAACTGAATTGGAGAAAGTTAAATGTAATCATACATTGAGAAACTAAACACAAATGTCACATCTGTTTCTGTGAGGCTACAATGAAATCAGGAGAAGGTATTGTGATGTACTATATATATGATTATTATATATAACATGGTATTATACATATAAATAATAATAATATATAGTACATATTTATGATAATAACTTGAAGTGTGTTACAAGTTATGAAAATGCCTTATCAATCAAACCTTAAAATAATGAATTTAAAAAATAAGGGAATTAAATAAAACATATGTTAAGATACGTATGTATGCATATGTATGTTGTATATTATCTATAACATCTTCTAAGTATATTTGCTAAACAAAATGAGTTTATTTATTTACTACATACAAGAAACAGAGTGAAACTCAGTAATTCATTAGTTCCTTTCAAAAGGGATTTTACTGCAGTAAAAGCTTGTACTTACTAATCTTGCAGTGAACACATTTCTGCTGGATTCTTTTTATCCTGGCCTACCTGTTTCAGAAAACAAGCTTTGAAAAAGTCAAGGATTCTTTGATGGTTCCAATTGGAAGCAATTCTGCCTTTATTCATATACATATATATAGCTTTTTTAGGGAGAAACATAACAGTGGGCAAGCAGCACCCTCTGGATGTCTTTCCATTTCCAGGAAGCTTCTCAGCACTTTCACAGGTGCTGGGAGAGGAGCTCTGCAAGATGAGGGCAGCTTCCACCTTATTGAAACGTTTGAAAACTGTTTTAGTTCAAACTGATAAGCACAACACCACAACTTCAGACCTGGGCATGTCCCGTGCCCCTCATCACACGTGAAGCTCCTAGCCAGGATCTATTAGGGACAGTGCTGTGCTTTTGGAATGGCTTGGTGTAGCTTTGAGAAAATTGCGTTAGATTTAATGCTCCCATACGTCAGTGGATTAACTCACACTATGTTTCAGGACAGGAGAATTGCTAACACACCGTACCACATGCTGTCAGCATCTGAGCAGGAAGTTGTTCAAGCACGCCAGGCACTGCTAGAGCACATTACAGCAAAGCTCCGTGAGCGCGTCATTCTGAAAGAGAAAGAGTGGGATCAAGAAGAGCTGAGAAGGTCCAAGAAATGTTAGTTAAGGCTTTAAGAGTATTTCGAGATGAAGAGTGGCATTAACAGGTGTGAAGAGGAATTTACTGTTATAGTTCTGGTTTTGCTGCCTGAAAAAGGAACTCGGTAAAAACTGTGCTGACATATTTGGTAAGGAGAATGTTTGGGGTTCCTGCAAACACCAAAGGGAGCAAAAAAGGCACGGAGGAAGAAATTTCAGTATGAGCTTAGTGACTGTCTGGTGCTACCTGGTAGATTCCTATAGAAGATCTATTACCATTTATTAATGAGTGGTTGAAGGAGCTTGCTTTCCTAGCATCTCTTTTGTTCTAATGCTCTAATTAATGTATTGATTAGAGTAGTGACAATGAATATATACAAGTTAAGATAATCTAAATGGTCTTCCTCACTAGTTCTCAAGCACTTCCTGAGGCTTATAAGCTCCCGATACCAGTCTTTGAGGCAGATGTATCACACTTGAAAAGTGACATCTGAATATCAGATTGTTACCTTTGCAGTCACAAACTTTGCAGGGAAGGCCCTACAGGGAGATTGGGACAGGCTGATGGCTGGGCTGAGGCCAGTGGGATGAAGTTGAACAGGAGCAAGTGCCAAGTCCTGCACTTTGGCCACAACAACCCCATGCATCGCTACAGGCTTTGGGCAGAGTGGTTGGAAAGCTGCATGGAGGAAAAGGATCTGGGGCTGAACGTGAGACAGCAGTGTGCCCAGGCGTCCTCCGTACTCTGCGCTGGTGAGGCTGCGCCTTGAGTACTGTGTTCAGTTTTGGGCCCCTCACTACAAGAAAGACGTTGAGGCCCTGGAGCACGTCCAGAGACAGGCAATGGAGCTGTGAGGGTTCTGGAGCACAGATCTATGGGCAATGGCTGAGAACTGGAATGGGTCAGTTTGAAGAAAAGGAGGCTCAGGGGAGACCTTATGGCTCTCTACAACTCCATGAAAGGTTGTGGTGAGGTAGGGGTTGATCTCTGTTCCCACACAGTGATAGGATGCAAAGGAAATAGGCTCAAGTTGTGCCAGGGTTGGTTTAAGTGGGATAACAAGAAGAATTTCTTCACATAAAGGATAATCAAGCATTGGAACAGGCTGCCTGAGGAAGTGGTGGAGTCGCTCTGCTTGGAGGTATTATTAACAGCGCAGTGATGTTCAGGACATGGTTAGTGATGGACTTAGTAGTTTAATTGGATGGTTGGAGTTGATGATTTTCAGGGTCTTTTCCAACTTAAATAATTCTATGATTCACTGACAAGAGATGCTTTGTATTCAGTATCTTCAAGATTTATGCAGTAGACAGTTCACCAAGTAGTGTGTGGTGCCCCAGATTTTTAACAGAGGTTGATTTTGTGACTAATACTCTATTTCTCTAGTAGCAACGCTGATTTTGGTCTCCTCTCTGTCATGTTGTTGTAGTGGATTCAGCCATTCATGTATGTGCTTCAGAGAACAAAGAGAGGAACCATCATGAGGAACAGGGAAGGTAGGACACAGATATGCATGCAAGTATTTACTGTTCTTAGTCAAAAATAACACGCCCTGATATTTTCCAAGCACTGCCATTTTTGTCTTTCATAACTTTTCTTTCATCTATTCAGTCTTATCAGCTGCAGTTGCCTTTTTTCTCTGTCCTGATCACATCACTCCATCTTCAGATTCTACCACAAGAGTTGGCATAATATTCAGTCATCTTGTGGGAAGCAGCATATCTGCATCTTTTAAACTGAGTCATCAGTACCATAGAGTACCATGCAAATGCTAAGAAATACGCAGCCATGCTTTCCATTTTGATACAGGAATTTGAGAAGATGTTTTAAGACCGTCAAGAAAAAGCATTTTTTTGTGTGTGTTTTTGCAACTCCATTTTCAGTTGACATGAACACATGACATGCAAATTTTCAAATGGAATGTGTAGATTTGCAATCAGATATTCAACTGGAAGAAAAATCTGATCTCATCTCTTTACCAAATGTTGTAAGCCCTCTCTTACCAGAGAGAAAACCCCCCACTTCACAGTCAGCCTTATTGATGTCATTGCTTTTTGGCAGTACATACTTTTATGAACAGCTGTTCTCAAGGGTACAAGAAGAATAAAATGAGATTAAATATCTCTGACGACCAAGAGAGCTAAATGAGAACTGCAGCTACTGCCACTGAACCAGACTGACATTAGTTTCAGAAAAACAAGATCACATATCCCACTAGTTTTACGGCTTTGTAGCTTTCTCATTTTATGTTTTAATAAAGAAAATAAATTCTCTTGCCCATATACTTTAGATTGCATCTGGGGACTGCTCTGAAAGTACTGCCTCCTGTTTTATGTTTGCCCACAAGACCAGTAACAGATGTTGGTGGGATGGCAGCAGAGGCTGAATCTTCCCATCAATATCCTATTGTGTTGTTGCTGTGTGACAGATGGCAGCAGAGGGGCAGTGTGACAGAATGGTGCGTGACATGGGAGTGTGTATGGAGCAAACATGTGGAATTGAATTCCTCTGTGAAGAAAAAATGCCAGTGAGTGCCATTCACTGATGCTTGTGAACAATGATGGAGACCAAAGAGGGGATGTGAGCAGTGGATGTGAGCACAGTGAGGGGTGGGTGGTGCATTTCAGCAGTGGTGGCAGTGACAGTGGTCACCTCTGCCAGTGCAGCTTTATACAAGCACAGCATACAGGTTCTTGTTCATCACTGGTAAAAATGCAGAGCTAATGGTGGTGACTATGTTGAAAATTTGTGTTTCGTAACTGATAATTTGTTCTATCAAACAGTGTTACTGTGCTCACTGTATCTGTTGTAGATTCCAGGGAAATAAATAGGAGGCATTACTTTTGGAGCAAACTATGTATTTTATATGTGGCCCCAGACAATTCCTCTTCACTTAGCATGGCCCAGGCAAGCCAGCAGGTTGGACATGTGTCCAATGTGTCCAGCATGGGCATAAAAAGAACTAACAGAAAATCTGGAAGGTTAAAGCACACAAAGATTTTACAAAGTCAGCACTGACTTACTGGCAGAGGTGAAATGTTAGTGCAACCTGCTTGCTGCTGTGCAGGGATAAAGCAGTGTTTCTAATAGAGACTGTATCACATAGCTGGAAGGCTGTAATAAATTGGTAGCATATAAAATATATTCAGTATTGCCTGTGAAAGCTATGATGTATTCAGATGTATCTTAGCTTTTAAGAAAATTGTATCACAGGAATGAAAGGTTTTGCATGAAGAGCCTTTGGCTTTATCTTACATCTAGTCCTGTCAGATTTCACAAGCACAGAACTGTTTGGCTTGGACAGGTCATGCTAAGGAGTTGTGTGCTGTAAAGAGTTCCTAAATTTTTAAAGAACCTGTAAGAGCAGAGCCCAGCTTGCAATTAGATCCAGCAGTCTGCTTCCTAGTCCCACCAGCAGCCTCAGCCCAAGTACTCTTTGTTTTATATTTCAACTGCAGAATAATTGTCAGGACTAAGGCTAGAAAGAACAATAATGTACTTCTGTTTGACAAGTACCTTTGTTCCAGGCTGCCCATCTTTAAGTACTGCTATCAGTGCGGACGTTCTGTTGCTGTCCAGCTGTCACCCTGCAAACGCTGTTATGAGGTCTTTACTTGCAGTGAGGCTTGCAGAAGGAAATCCTGGAATGAACGACACAGTCGTGAGTGCTCAGGATTGCTGGGTAGGTTCAATCACCATTGCTGTGTCAGCATGGTGATTTGTGTATATGTAATAATAACCTGGGCATGCCTTCCTTTGAATGAACTGTTCAGTTGCATTTTATGTAGAAATTTAAATAAGAACATTCACTTGAATGTTTTGGAAAACCACCAGCTTTAAGACTACGCAAACCCACAACAGAAGCAGTAAAAGATTGGCACAGAATCACAGGGTGGTTGGTTGGAGGGGACCTGATGTGGCTTCAGGGAGGAGAGAACAGGTAGTCACCCTCCTCAATCCCTGTGAAGCTTGTGGAGCCAATTAATGCTGGAAACCTCCAGATGTGTGGATTTCCAGTCAGCAAGGATTTAATGCAGGAAATCACACCTAACCAGACTGATAGGTTCTTACAGTGAGCTTGGGTGGATGAGAGGAAAACAGAGGAGGTTGTTTACATCACCTTTATTAAGGCTCTTGACACTGGCTTCTGTAGCAAACAGTCTTCTCACAGACAAACTATTGAAGTTTGGGTTAGAAAAGCAGACAGCAAGGTGGACTGAAAACTGACAAAATGACTGGGCCTAGAGTGTAGTGACCAGCATCAAACAGTCTGGATGGAGCACTGTACCACTGGCACAGACTTGGGGCCAATAGTATTGAACATCTTTGTTAATGGCCGCAGTGACAGTGTGTGCCTTCAGCAACTGCGTGTGATTGGGAAGAGTGACTGCCAATGTAAATGGGTGCATTCCTAGTCAGGAGGAGCTGGACAGGCTAGTGGAACAGGAAGAGAGGGACTTCATGAAATTCAATGAAGGAAAGTCCTGCGTCTGGGGGGAACAACTCAATGAGCCAGTAAGTGCAGGGGGGTGACCAGACGGAGAGCAGCTCTTCAGAAAAGGACCTTAGGGCCATTCTGGGGACAAGCAGCAAAGAAAACCAAGAACATACTGGGCTGTGTTGGGAAATGCATCACCAGCACGTTGAGAGAGGAGAATCCCTGCTCAGCATGGCTGAAATCCTGTTGGGATGAAGGTACCTGTGTTTTGAGCTCCTCTGTGCAAGGAAGATGGACTCAGTGCACTAAGTCCAGCAAAGGACCACTGGGGTGATTAATGGCTTGGAGTGTCTGTGCTGTGATGAGAGGCAGAGATGTGAGATTCACTGTCCTCAATATGAAGAAGATGTAGTGGAATCTCATCAATGTGTAGAAATACCTGATAAGACTTAATGAATATGAAAAATTCTTCACTGTGACAAGACTAGAGGTGATGGAAACACAAGACACATGAAATGACATGTGAACACAAGAAAACACGTTTTTACTGTCAGGGTGGACAAGTGGTGATACAGGTTGTCTGGAGAGGTTGTCTCCATTCTGAGAGGGCATCAGACCCTGGCCTGGACGGAGCCCTGGGCAGCCAGCTCAAGTGGCCTCTTCTGATCTCAGTCATACTGTGCTTTGTGATGAGAAAGAAATGAGATATGATGGGAGTAGGAAGACGAGAAAGCGTATAGATAGAATGGGGAACGGTTTGATTTAGGGTAGCAGTAGAGTGTGACATGTTTGTTGTTCATAGTTTGATACTTTCAGTCTTTTATCACCTTGGGAACACTTGAAATAGTGACTCTGGTGCCACACACCAGAGCCGTTTATGTCTGAAGAACGAATTACTGTTATAAAATGTTCTGAAGGAGATACAGAAAAACAGTTGCAAAGCACACCACCCCAGTGTGGTCGGTGAATCCTGTACAGACCTGAACTAATCCATCCAACAGCAAACTACATTTTCAAGGAGTGGAGGAGCAAGAACTCTCCAGTGAATTTGTTACTTTTCCCACCAAGAAAAGGAGCCTAAGATCCAGAAAATTATTTCAACGTTTTCCAGTGATGTTTTGTTTGGAGCGGTTCTTGTAATTGTCCAAAACATTGTAACTGCCATCAAACAAAGCAAAACAAGCCTCTCCTACCTCACAGAGTAGTTACAATTCATTCTTAAGAAACAAAACCAAATAAATTAAATTTTACTACGTATATAATAACAATTCTTAAACATTGGAGCTGTATAAAGCATTTTCCATCTGCCACGTTTCTGGTAAAGGCGTTCACTGAAATGCCCAACCAAACAGACCTCACTGCACAGCTGTTTGGCACCTTTCTCATGGTAATTTGTAGGTTTATGTAGAAGAGAATCATCCCCTATAATCACTGACGATGTGGTCCATCCCGTGTATCCTGAGGTGCCTTTATGCACTGTTCTAGTGGTGCCAAAGAGGAGGGGATGGCCTTACTAATGGCTGTGACCACTCTCAGTATGAAATTGAGAGAATGTCAATGCCTATTTTGATGGGAAAATTACAGCTATATTTTTAAATGTGTTTGTCCCAGATCTGTGTTAACGGTGATAATTAAAACATACAAGCTTGCTTATGTGAGAGGACTGCTAACAAAAACACTTTTCAAACACTGTGTTCCTTTCTGGTTAATTTCAAGGTTAAAAGGTTTATTTATTTTTATTTTTGTTTTGTTTGTTTCTTTGTTTCTTCTCTCCAAAATAAAAAGATGTGAAATTCCCTAACTTACATCAGTTTGAACCATTCAGTCTGTTGCTCCAGGAGCTTTCTGCTCTTGGATTTCTGCTTCCTTTTTCTGCTTCCTGTGCTTTTAACTATGGGATAATACAGTTAGCATTTCTTTTGCACCTTGTGAGGAAAACTCAATGTTTAACAAAGTCCTGAAGTAATTAGCAGCATTAGCAGCAGGTCTAGCAGTTTCTAAGATGCTTACAAGAAGCAGCAAGTATCAGCTGCATGTGGTCAGTTTGCTGGGAAGTTTATAGGTACGTAAGTAGGTACAAATAGTGGATTGACAGCTGTCTGTTAACAATGCACTTGTACCAAAATAGGAATATTCTCAAATCTTATATCCAGTTTATGGTTAATTAAAAAAAAAAAAACAACAAACCAAAGCTCACTTTATTTATTTATTTTCAGAGAAGAGTACAGGTCAGATGTTTCCATCTGCAAGCACAGCAGGTCACAAAGAACACAAAAAGAACAACATTTGCAAAAATGGACGAGAAGGTGGAGAAAAGAGAGGTAGAAGAAAGGATAAGGTTAGGAGTGGTGGAAGAGAGACTCACCAGAAGAATGGCTGACTTGTTTCAAGTACCACTTACTACTGTATGGCCATGTTTGAATGCCATTTTCTTTCTGCCTTGTACTCCACTTCTAATAAGATTAAAAGTGACACAGTCTGACAAGCTTTGAGGAAATAAAGAGAAAGCATCTTTCCGTGATGCCACACGAGCTCCATACCATCAGAACTGGTGTGTGTGGGATGTGGGTACATCCATGTTACGCTTCACAGAATCACAGAATGGCTCAGGTTGGAAGGGACCCCAAAGATCACGAAGCTCCAACCCCCTGCCACATGCAGGGCCACCAACCTCCACATCTCACAGCAGCCCAGGCTGCCCAGGGCCCCATCCAACCTGGCCTTGAACACCTCCAGGGATGGACGGGGCATCACAGCCTCTCTGGGCAGCTGTTCCAGCTCCTCACCACTCTCTGTAAAGAATTTCCCCCTGACATCCAACCTCAATCTTCCCTCCCTGAACTTAACACCATTTCCCCTTGTCCTGCTGTTATCTCCCCTTTCAAAGAGTTGATTCCCCTCCTGTTTGTAGGCTCCCTTTAGGTACTGAAAGGCTGCAATGACGTCACCCCGCAGCTTCTCTTCTCCAGGCTGAACAAGCCCAGCTCCCTCAGCCTGTCCTCACAGGGGAGGTGCTGCAGCCCCCTGCTCATCTCTGTGGCTCCTCTGGACCCTCTCCAACAGCTCCCTGTCTTTCTTGTACTGGGGGCTCCAGCCCTGGACGCAGTGCTGCAGATGGAGCCTCACAAGAGCAGAGCAGAGGGGGACGATCACCTCCCTGTCCCTGCTGGCCACCCCTCTGCTGATGGAGCCCAGGATCCCATTTGCTTTCTGAGCTGCAATGCCACTGCTGGCTCATGTTAAGTTTTTCATCCATCAGGACCTCCAGGTAGCTCTCTGACCAAGTAACCAAACGAAAGCACATTTGTTGGCTTTGCACAATCTTACATTTGCCTCTTTCTATTATGGATACCAGCGATATTCCATCACCTTTCAAAGAGAGAATTCTTAGATGAGCATATATCGTGGATGCACCTACTGGTTCTGTTAAACGGCCTCCTCATATTTGTGCTGTTCGTTTTTCCTCATAACCAATGATGGTAGGTGAAGGCGCCCTCAGTTCCTCTGTTTAGCATCTCCAAGTCAAGGGGAAGGAAGGGTGACTGCCGGCCCCGTCTGGCTGCCGCTCCGGGAAGTGCAATGGGGGACCGAAAGCAGGGTGCTGCTAAGAAGTCACTCTGTGATTGGTTAGAATCCCTGCCATCTCTGAAGGACGGCGATGGGGATTGGCTGGTGTCCTTTCTCCACTCGCTGTTGGACAGCAGTGAGAGCTTCTCTGATTGGCCATCGCTTTCCGCACCTTGCAGCAAACCTCCTGCCGAGTGGCTGCTACCTACGGCGCGGTGGCGCGGCGGCAGCCATGGCAACGGCAGGGAGCAGAGAGGTGGGAGCCCGCGGAGCGGCTCGGGGCTGCCGTGACCGTGCAGCCGACTGCGGTGGGCGGGCAGCGCCGGCCGCGCATTGCAGCACCTGTCCGGTGTTGTGTCACCGTGGCAGCCGTAGTGCGGCCCGCGGGCTGTAGTGAAGGGCTTGCGGTGATGGACGATAAGGTCCCGCCAGCGGTTTGGGACCTTCCCGTGTCCTCAGGGTCGAGCTCTGAGGCGGATGTGCTGAGGCTGGAGAGGCCCCGGTGCTGAGGTCGGCTGTGGCCGCGCTGGCAGCTCGAAGGCGCCCCGTCGCTGTGCCTAAGTGTGGGCATGGAAGTGGCTCTGCTCGGCGGGGTGGGGCTGCACCTTTCCCCTGGGCTGAGACGGCGATGGCTCTGCCGGTTGGATTGTGGATGTCATGTGCCCATCCCTGCCGCGGATGGTGCCGGCCATGCTGGGGCTCCCTCGTTCCTGGACTTGGGCTTGGGCGGTGGCTTTGATAGTGCCTGTGCTCACAGCCCTGTTCTTTTTGTCCCAGCCTAACAGCTGTGAAACTGGGATCCGTCCCTGGTGAGTATTGCCGTGTTCTGAAATATCCACCCTGGATCTGCTTTACCCTCTTGTCCCCAGCCACGCTCAAGTCTCCTATTCTCAGCTGTCCACAGTTGCCCCTTCCTCCTTTCTGTCCCTTATTCTTCCTTTCAGGACTGTTCATGTCAGTGGGTTCCCAACTGCATATCTGGGCACCCACATCCCCAGCTATTTTCCTTCTTCCTCAGATTCTACTGTCTCTATCTGTCCCCATGTCCCTTGTCCTCTCCTGCCTGCCATTCCCTGGTTTATCTCTGCTTCTGCAGGACAGACCTGGATGTGGTGGTCATGGAACGACTTCAGGCAGCCCCAACCCAGCAGGATCGACGTGTGTAAGTGAGGGAACAGGGTTGTCTGTAGGGGTCTTGGACACCTAGCACACTCTAGAACACCCTGGGCTACCTGGGTCACTTGAGACATTCAGGAGAAAAAGCCTATGGGCTCAGCCACCAAAGCAAGAACAGGGCATGCTGGAGACACTGTAGAAGCATTCTGGAACACCTGGGACATGCTGGGAACATACTGGGACATGGTGGGACACTTGTGGGACAACCCCAGAACATGCTCAAAGTATGCATGGGACACCTGAAGAATGCCTCTGGGAATCCCTAAAAAGACACCATGCTTTAGTCCACTAAGACAACCCTGGTACCTCACCTCAGAATGCCCAGGGATGTCACTGGGTTAATGCCATTCACCTTCATATTCCTATAGTCTTCCTCTCATCCATGTGGTATCCTGGTTCTCTGTCAGTCCCAGTGTCCCACTCAGGAAACCTTAGAACCCAGTCCTAAGTGCATTTGTTCCCTCCTAAGATGCTCCCATATCTCTCACTGGTGTTGCTGTTCTCCTTCACAGCCCTCTAGGTGTCCTTGTATTCCCCACAGGGTGTTACCACTGTATCCTACCTCTTAGAGTGTCCCAATGTATTCTTTTTCCTCTCCTTGAAAATGCCCAAATTGCACCTCTGAAGGATGTTCCAGTCCCTTTTGGTTTCCCTGCTGTGTTGTCCCAAGTTGTCCCTTTCATGTCCATGTCCCCCCCGGTGTCCCTGTCTGGCCCTCTAATGGTATGCCTGTTCTTCCAGTGTACTGGCAGAGGTCCTGCCGGGTCCCTCTGTCCTTCTGGATGCCTATGAGGCGGCTGTGGAACTGGGCCAGGAGTTAGAGCTGGCCCCAGGGCCGCTCTCAGCCCTGCTGCGCATCGTGCGTTGTGCCATCACCATGTGCACCCGTGAGTGCAGGGCCGGGGGGGGTGGGGGGCACAGAACTGCGAGGGTCTCATTCACCACTGACTGTCCCAGAGACACCCCTGCCTGATGTGGAGGAGTGCTATGCCTACTTCAGCGAGCTGCTGCTGTGCCATGCTGTGCATGTGAGTCTTCACCCCTCACACGCTTATTGGCCCCCAGGTGCTCCTTGCACAACCCCTGCACACTCAGTAGTACCAGTGTGCTTCCTGCACACTCCCCATATTTCCCAGCATCCTCACAGCAACCTAAATATGTCTCATGAAGTTATTGGCATTGACACACTCCATCTATGCTTACTGAAGCCTGCATGGTCCTCACATCGTCTCTACGCACTTGTAGGGCCTCCTGTGCTCCTTGCGTGCTTTCCATATGCTTACTTATGCCCCAGCACTCCTGGCAACATGATGTTGGCGCCTTCATGTTCTGTACTCTTTTGCCTTGTATTTGATTGAGCCAGCACACTCTTGCACACTTCCTGCAGCCTCACCAGAACCTGCATGTTCCTTGTGCTCTACACCCTCAGACTCCCAACACCCTCCCCTCCTTTCCCACGTGCCCTGTGTGCTTCCCAGCCACTGACTTTCTCTTGCCCACTGACTTTCTTTTGCCTGCTGCTGCCATGGTGCCATTGCTGTAGCATCCTCCGGTCAGTGTGGCTGTATTTGGGCTGACCCAGGTTGCCCGCATCACAGCCCACCTCTTTGGAACTGTCCTTCGGCACGCCAAGCTTTATGCCTACGTCCTTACGCCCGAGGTGAGCTCAGCACTGTTGAAAGTAAATGTGCAATGGAGGTCAGGCCTGCCCTGATTCCACTGCCCGTCTTCTGTCCCTGAGCCCAGGCTTGCCTTGACTTGACCCTGGTTTATGTGGATAGCCCCGAGCATGGCCCAGAGGGACAGATGCCTACCACCCTCCCCGAGGAGCAAGGAGAGACCACTGGGAATCCCAGCACAGGTGGGGCTGAGGGGTTACAAGGGAAGTGCTGGGATTTTAAGTCTAGGGAACTACAGGGTAATGAAAGGGACCGTAGGGTAAGTGGAGGAGCTCCCTCATATCTGGGATATACCTTAGGGTCTCAGGGGGCTGGAAGGTCATGGGGAGGGTAATGGGAGGCCCATGGGTTCCTGGGGGCACGCAGTGGTCCCAGTGGTCTAGTGGGATTAAAGGGGCATCTTGTGGTTATGATTATGATGAAGGGCCTTGTGAAGCACGACAGCATGCAGAATGATCAAGGGGAGTCCTTAGGGTTGTGAGGTTCTGGGAGAAGTGTGGAAGGCAGCCCAAGATCAGGGGTGGCTTTGGGAACTCCCAAGAGCAGCACATACATTGATTCATTCCCATGATTCTTCTGTGGCCTTTTTTGTCCATCAGCAGCTTTGTCTTGAGCCCTCTCTTCTCCATGTCTTGCTGTGTTTCTGGTGACGTGTCCCTTATGTTCCAAGTCTCTGCTGTGCCCTGTGCCAGGTTCTTAACGTGTCCCCAGGCACTTCCTTGCCACTGGTGTCAAGCTGTAGCTTCTGTCACCCTATGTGCCTTGTTTGCATGTCCCCCCAGCTTTAGTGTCTGACCTCTCCTTGCTCATATCTCCTCCTTATTCCCAGGGCCTCTTGTGTCACCTGTTCCCCTAGTGTCAGGTCCTAAGCCCTGTCTTTCCACATCCCTGTGCCCCCATTGCTAATACCTGTGTGTGTCTGTTCCCAGAGTCTCTGTTACAGGAGGCAGCAGTACCTGAGCTAATGCAGGTTCCTGCAGAGATGCATTTGAGTAAAGAGGATGTCTCTGTGTCTCCCCGGGCCTCCCCTAGGAGCAAGAAACACCTTAGAAGACCTCGGGGATCCCGCCAAGGAAATAAAAGGCCTTAGACTGTGCCTTAGCATCCCTGTTATCTCTGGAACCCATTATATTTGCATTGCTTATTTGACCTGTTTTTGTGCTGTTGCACAAACAGAAATGCCTGCAGAATTGGCATGAAGAACCGCACACATCAGTATAGGTTAGGGGATGACCTGCTGGAGAGGATCTCTACAGAGAAGGACCTGGGTGTCCTCGTGTCCAGCAGGGTGATCATGAGCCAGCAGTGTGCCTTGGTGGCCGAGAATGACAATGGGACCCCAGGGTGCATTGCCCGGAGCTGGGCAACTGGCTGTATGGAACTGCTTTATTGGGGTGGCTAACGTGGTCTGCGGAGGTCTGCTCCAACCCCTACGATTCTGTGATTATGTGATCAGACGCAATGGGTCCCTGTGGGGCTCTGTGGCGCTCCCTGTGCTCTGTGGGGCCCTATGGTTCCCAGTGCCCCACATCCTCTCTGCCCAGCCCCGTCAGGCTCTGCCCACCCACTTGTGTCCCCGCCCCTTGTCACGATAGCCCCACCCTTTAGGGGGGAGCTTGTGGGGGAGGGGAGGTACATGGCACTGCACCGTGGCTCCGCCCACATCTCCCCATGGTCCCTTGCCCCAAGTCTCCCCATAGACCCTATAGTGTTCCACACCTTTCTCAGCCCCATAGCACATTCAGACTGCTTCCCCACAACACCCCATAGCAGCCCCGTAGCATTCCTTGGCCCCACAGCAGCCCCACACCTCCCACAGTCCCATGATCCCACCCTCCTCTCCACAGCCAATAGGAGGAGGGGCGGTGTCCCGGCCACCACCATAATTGGGGATGGGGAGGAACGTCGACGAGTCCCGTGGAGGGTGAGGTCACAGTAAAGAGAGCCACAGCCTACATAGCCCTGTAGAGTCCTATGGCACCATAGAGCCCTATAGTGCCCCATAGAGACCCATAGCGTACCCCCAAGAAAGCAAAGTCAGAGGGGATGCTGCAGCAAAAAGCATTTAATCCTGCCCATAGCTTGGAGCTGAGGGCAGAGGGAAATGTATACATCCCACAGATTACACTATACCAGGGGTGGGGGGACACCAGAACTTGCAGGGCAGGAGCTGGGGCTGGAGGACTAAAAGCCTCCATCAAGATGAAGAATGGATGTCATAGGATTGGAGGAGCTGCCCCAGAGCGTGGAAATGCAATCTGTAGATCTGGATCCTTCTTGAGACCCACTGATAGATTTTGAGGGTTGAATGATGGATTTTGGAGATCTGGTGATGGATTTTGGTGGTCCTTGTTCTCAACCATCATCTCATTGTCCTCAGAAACCCCTGGTACCTCCCAAAAATTCTCTTCCTCTTCCTCGTCCTCTTCTTCTTGCACTTCCTCCTCCTCCTCGTCCACCGCCTCCTTTTCTCCCTCCTTGTGCTGTGGCCATGCCACAGGGCCACCACCTCCAGTCTTTGGTGGCCACTGTGACAACCTGTAGAGCCCCCCTTGTGTTTTGGGGGGCTGTGGAATGTACTCTGAACATTGAGGACCCCCCAGGTTTGGCCCACACGTGGCACTGTATCTGAATCTCAGGTCGCCACCTCCTGGGAAACACACAACGTTGCGCTGCTGTTTGCCTGTAGCCTGCACCGGTACTTCGCACACCCCTAAGCGGTGGTCATTCCACCCATAATCCTGATCCCACACCTCCAGCTTCATCTTTTGATGCGGGTGCAGTGTCACCCACCCCAAATCGAACTGTGCACCCCACTTGGGCTGATTGTTGTTCCACACCGTCGCTGTCCGTAGCCGCTGACCATTGAAGTACAGCAGCACATACGCATCGGTTGCGGTGAAAATGTCACCGTGCCACCCCCTGCCCTCCTGCACTGTCACTGTCACCTGTGCCATCCCGCGGTGTTTGGAACAGCAGTCGGCATTGACCACGCTGTTGGCTGCACACCCGCACTGACACAACCCAACCATGCCGTGAGCGGCGCACTGTTGGCTGCAGTTCGCCCTCAATGCTCTCCATGTGATGTAGTGACCGATGGCCGCCTTCAGTGCTCCCCGGCGTGGGTCCTGGCGGGGCAGCAAGGTGTGCAGAGGCCTGACGTTAGAGGCAACCAACCCAGGCAGGCGTTGCAGGGATCTCAACCACTCGGCATAGTTCTGTGATGCGCCGTAGAGGAGGTCGCCATGTTGCTCGCCACCTTCCACCTCCACCATCCGTTCATTAAAGAGTTGATTGAAGTCGCTGTGGGCGCTGTTTTTTGATTTGTCTTTGCGGCACGCACTGGACATGGCGCTGAACGTGGTTGACTTCACGTTGGCTGTCATTTCTGCACCCAAACAATCAGCCACTTCTTGGGCGCCGGCGCCCATCATGGCGGCGCGGCACAAGCGGATGGCGGTGATGGAGCGGAGGAGGCCGCCCAGTTGGGCCGAGTGGACGTAGTGGGTGCCATAGGCGGCCAAGACGTCGGCATAATCTGGGGCGGTGGCGGGGGTAAAGTGGGGTGGGAGGGATCGAACAGCATGGAGGAAGTGGGGGGACGGTCTGGGTTTAGGTGAAGCTGAGATCCTGAAGGGGGGGGAGAGAGAGAAAAAGTCATTGGGGCTCTATGGAGCCTTTGTGGTTAATGGGGATCTATGGGGAGGCGTGATTGAGGGAGGATTGAGAATATGGGGAGGGGCGATTGAGGTGCCTATGGGGTGATTGAGCGGTCTATGGAGTGTTGGAGGAAAGCTGTGGGGTGACTGGAGGGGTCTATGCGGGGATTCTTTGTGGTCTATGTGGTGACTGGGTGCTGGAGGGGGGTCTGTGTGGGGCCTGTGGGATGATTGAGCCATGTGTGGGGTGATTGGGATCTATGGCGTGTCTATGGAGGTCATTTCTGCACCAACACAATCAGCCGCTTCTTGGGTGTCCGTGCCCATCATAGCGGTGTGGCAAAAGTGGATGGCAGTGATGGAGCACAAGACGCTCTGTAGACGGGGTAATCGAAGGGATCTGTGGGTGAGTTCTACGGGGTTCTGTGGAGTGTCCCTGGGGTGTCCCTGGCGTGGTTTGAGAGTCTGTGGCGAGGCTACAGGATGATTTGGGGGTGTCTGTGGGGTGTCTATGAAGTACCAGTGGGGGGGATGGGCTGTTTATGTGATGATTACAAGAGGCTATGGGATGATTGGAGGAGTCAGTGGGGGGCCCTTGGGTGCTGGAGGGGGTCTATGAGGTGATTGTGTGGAATCTCTGGGGAATTTTAGGGGAATTTGGGGTGTTGTGGGGGTGCTGGAGGGGGGTTGTAGGAATCTGTAGGGTGGAGGTGGAGGGACGGAAGAGATATAGGAGAGGAAAAGGAGGAGAGATGGAGAACATGGAGGAGAGGGAAGAGAGGGAAATGGAGATGGGGGAGATGGAGGAAAGATGGAGAACAAGAAGGACAAGGGGGAGATGGAGGAGAGGGAACAATGGTGGAGGAGATGGAGAAGAAGGAAGACATGGAGGATGAGGAGATGGGGGAAAGGAGAGAGAAAAGAGAAGGAGATGGAGGACAAGGAGGACAAAGTTGAGATGGAGGAAAGATGGAAGACAAGGAGCACGAGGAGGACACGGTGGAGAGGGAAGAGAAGGAGGAGATGGAGGAGAACTGGAGGAGAAATGGAAAGAGCTGGGGAGATGGAAGAGGAGAGGGGATGGAGAAGCAGGGAGAAAGGATGAGGGAGCTGGAGCCCTACCAGTAGTGCACGCAGCGCAGCTCGGTGCTGGCGAATGAGTAGCGGTCCTCCCGCTCCTTCTGCATCCCGAACTCTGCCACGCGTGAGTGGGACCCGGCCATGGCCAGGGTGACCCCCCTCCCTGGGATGAGGGCTGCCTCCAGCCCCACTCTCCAATTCTGCGCCATCTTCTCTGTCTGGGCCACCAGCATCCTCATGGATTGGCTGCCAGCGGCCAGTGAGGACCTCTGCTGGCACTTACTCCCTGCTCGCCACTTGCTGACGCCGTTGTAGAGGAGGAGGGACTGTCCTTTGTGGAGCTGGTCCACGCAGACCACACAGTGCCTGCCGGTGGGTTTGGTGATGGCCAACACTTGGCCCTCAGTGAGGGACATGGTGGTGACATCCAAACCTGAACCCAGAATGTTGGTGCCAGGAGCCGGGGGGACATGGCAGGATTTACCAATGGCACGGTGGCACTGGGGGCAAATGGTGGGGAGATGATGGAAGAGGAGGAGGATTGAGAAGGCAAGACAGTGGGGAGCGGACTTCATGGTGATCGGCTGCAGGGGAATGGAAATGTGGTGAGTCCACGGGGGTGTGGGCATGGAGAAGGTGGGGGAGGTAGAGGAGGTGGGGACACAGGGCTATGGGAATGGGGGGGACATGGGGATATGGGAATACAGGGACTTGGGAATATGGGGATATGGAGACGGGAACATGGGAACAGGGACAAGGAAATGGGGACATGGGGACATAGAAACACGGGGACACAGAGACATAGTGACAAGGAGTCGTGGGCAAATGGGCACATGGAGATGTGGGGACGCAGGGACGTAAGTATATGGGGAGAAGGGGACAAAGGAACAAGGGGACGCTGGCACTCACCTGTCCTCTCTGCTGTGTCCACAGCTGTGGGGTGTGTTCCAACACCTCCTACCCCAACATCCCCACCCCCATCGTCACCCTTCACACGTCCCCGCTCCACAAGTTGGGGGGTGATACTTCCTGTCCCCTCTAAAAAAATTATATGTGAGGTTCCCAGCAGCTATGAGTCACCCCGAGGGGGAGTGACATACACCTCCTAGCCACGGTGATACAGGATGTGGGTCACAGCATGGGGGGTGACAACGGGGCTGGTGCAAAGTGCTTTTTTGGAGGGGGACAATAGGGATGTTGTGTGCAATGGGGGCAACAGGGACACTGTAGGCACTGGGGATAGTGGGAGGTGTGGGGACATTGGGGACACTGGGGACAGTCGGGGCATTGGGGATACTGGGGACACAGAGATGGCACCATAGTGACAAAGTTGGGGCTGAACTTGAGACAGCTGGGGAAGGGAAGGGCAAAGAGTAAGGGAGAAGAGGAAGGGGAATGGAAATGGAAGAAGGTGGAATAAGATGAATGGGAAGGGAAGGGGGAGGCAAAGGGAAAGGAAAAAGGAAGAGAAGGGGCAGATGAAAGAGAAGGGAGAAGAAGAAGGGGGAAGGGAAAGGAGGCAGTGGAATGGAGATGGGGAAGGGGAAAGGATATGGGGAAGGAGGATAGGGAAGGGGGAGAAAAAGGAGGAAGGGGAAGTGAAGGGGAAGGGGATGGAGAAGGGAAAGGAGAAGGAGGAGAAGCAGAAGCAGAAGCAGAAGCAGAAGGAGAAGGAGAAGGAGAAGGAGAAGGAGAAGGAGAAGGAGAAGGAGAAGGAGAAGGAGAAGGAGAAGGAGAAGGAGAAGGAGA